TAATCAATTTCATTAAAAGTGGTCTATTCCATAATCACACTCATACTAAATAGAAAAATCTTTGGATTTTTTGTTTCAGATAATTTTTGCGACCTGTGGAAAGGTCGCCAGCTCAGTCCGTATTTTGCGCACTGTCCCACGTCGCCCTGTGTCCTGCTTTAGAATATTGATTAAATAATCTGAAAATTTAATGCAATCTTCTTCAAAGTATAATAAATATATCTGAAAAGTTTTGAGTACCTATATTTTTTACTTTTTCCAAAAAAAATTCATGAAAATTGCCTATTTTTTGGCCTGTCTAACCAGACAGTACCCTTAAGCCGAGATTCGATCATGGTAAATGCCATTCTTTCGCGTTTGCTTGGGGGACACACGATGTACTGTCTCGGTAACAATTTTAATGTGACGATTCGCTACTTGTATATTACAGGGTATCTTTAAATCTTTAATTGCAACATTTGCGAACATATGTTCTCGGAATTCATCGTCTGACATTGATCGCAACAAATTCGATCAAATTTACGTTTTCACCGTACGGTCACCGTATAAACTTCGATTGCAACGACTATATAAACATAATCGACTGGGAAAACGTAAATTTGACCGAACCTGCTTTTTCGCGATCAATGTCAGACAATGAAATCCGAGGATACATGTTCGCAGATGCTGCAATTCAGCAGATGCTGCAATTGCAAATGAGACAGCACATCGTGTGTCCCCCAAGCAAACGCGAAGGAATGGCATTTACTATGAATCTCGCATAAAAGGTCAATAAGTAAAACAAAAAAAGATTTCCAGCAATAAATTATTTTTATGAAACAATTGTTACGTACCATAATAAACCGATGAGTAATTGAAATAAAATAAAAATGAAAAAAAAACGCTATTTTTTATTTTTTATGAAGGGTAGATATTTATTAAAAAATTTCCTTGTAACCAAAATTCACCATTTTTTGTCTTTTCCGAAAATACATGCACAACAGAGAGTAAGAAATCGATCCATCCTAGTATGTATATAATAAAGCATTACTATTTTTTAAATATATTTACTATTTTTATTTCTAAAAATGTTTATATTACTGCAATTTATTATTTATAATTTTTCAGAGGCAAAATGTTCAATCCGAGAAATGTGATAATTGTATTATTTTCAACAATTTTTTTAAATGCGCTCAAAACTCCCATTACAAAATCAGAAATGGAAATAAAATACAAAATAGAAAACTTGCTGCAAAAAATGTACCAAAACCAATTTAAAATTTTTTATCTTTTAAAAACGAAAAAATATTTTTAACCCCGGCCTCCTCTACATTGAAGATAATACAATTTGGATTTTATTTATTTAATTTGATACAATTTCTTTCGAGGTATATTATTTACAAAATATATTTGCATGATCGTGTTATAGGAAAGACCGACTGGTTGACATATTAGCCACGTTGGTACATTCAAAATTACTGCAAAATGACAAACAGTAAATCCTATCCTATCTAAAAAAAAAAGGCATGTAAAGTCGATTACTCTCATTTCTCGAATTTATTTGTTGTCGCTTTTCCGCGATGCTGATTGGTTGTCTCGCTGCGCTTTCTTCGTGTAAGCGGCTATGTCATTGCATTTTGACAGTTATGTGTATTGACGTTGATGTAATTGTAATATAATTGTAAATTATAGTAAGAAGTGTTAAATAGCACGCGCAAAGCGCGCGTTTGTAGTGCTAGTATTATATAAAAAATATAGTATTTCCGCAAAAACATTATTTCCTGCTACAATAAGATATTTTGGACTAAATTGCTTATTTTCAGAAATAAAAAATAATTTCAGTTTTTGATAGCCAAAAGTAAAATAAATCAGTAATCTATTAAGTGTTACATTTATAAATCTGTTTATTATATTATAATTCCAATTATTTCTTTAGAGTCTTTACTTTATAAGTAATAACTTAGTTATATTAATGTTAAGATAAGTTACATTAATATTAAGATAAATCTTGAAATAAATAAACTCAGATTTGAACATTGAATGTCCCATAATAACTTTGAAACGTCGTATCTCGGGAACTATTGATTATACAGGGTTAAAAAAAAAAGATTTTCAAAGCTAATTTTATAAGCTTCAAG